GGGGGAGGGAGGGATGATGATGCTGTTATGTACCCGATTGAGCTTCAATCCACAACGAATTCACACGTTCCCATACACGCATGCATTTGCAGAATAGACTCAAAGGAGGAAAATCCACACAAAACCGGAGAGAAGATATGCACAGCGGAAGCTCAAAATACACAGAGAACTGAGAGAAGTGAAAAACGAATTTTAATTCTTTAATCCCCGTCCTCTAATCAATCCAGAGTACTTGTTCCAAGAATCTCAACCGCGTTAACAACAATCCCGAACAACCAAAAACAGTGTTCAATGAAGTATGCAGGAGTCTTCTTCTTCCTCCTCGCCACCTCATACCGTTGGCTATGGCTGCCGTAGCAGCAGTAACCCCACAGCTGTCACAACGTGCCAATCTGAACCAGCAACCCCAATGATACCAGCGCCAGCTCAGTGCCCGCTTGGAAGTGCAGCGCTGGAAGTCCTGATGAAGATGGAGACAACCGATTCAGCACTTCGAAGAAGATGAAGATGAAGTTCCTCGTGAGGAGGAACAGCAGATATGGCTGCCAAGTGGAGAATGGCAGCACCCAAACCCAACAACGCAGTCCTGTGGAAGCTCTCGTGCAGAGCTGCTAAATAGCAGCAGTGCAATCTTCAATTTCGTTTCCCAGCCCCAGCTATGGCTGGGCTTCGAGGAAGAAGATGCCCTTGCCCAAAATAGCACAGCAGCGCTCCAGCAACGGACGGGCAGAGTTTCCCGAGCCAAACGAGATGCAAAAGAAAAGACCCGAAACTTACTTCCTGCCCGCTACTTCTACTCCTGGACTTGACCTACGAGAGCAACCTATGACTCCCCTGTACCTACCCAGGAAATGGGAAAAGGGGACCCAGACCTACGGCAGGGCACAACATAAAGGCCAAATGGCCTAAGACTACCAAACAGAGATCACTAGTGGCAGATTTCGGGATCAAGTCCCAGGGGATGCAACACTCACAAACAAAACACACACAAGTCACAAGTCACGGGATCAAGTCCCGCAAGGCTCAAAACAAGCAAAAAGCAGGCAAACAGCAGGCAAACAGGCAACACAGCAGGCA